TGGCCTCCTGGTGCTGTTAAGGAAGATGGGCAACTTCCAGACCCCTGAGCTTCCCTTTCATGGGCTGTTTAAATCATGGGCTATATAAACTATATTGCATCGATCTTAATTATCAGAAGAGGAATGGAGCCTCCCTGCTCAGAAGCAGTCCACCTCTGAGTTGCAGCTGCTGAGAAGTAAGCAACAGGGGAATGCTTTTACTCCCAGGGCTTGTGTAGGAGTTTCTTTAAAAAGGATACCCTTCTTTCGGACCAAGATGGAGGTTAGATCGGAGAATAGAAAAGTTCCTTTTTCTCGGCAGGCGTGGCTGGTTTGGCTTCTCCGCACCACGCTTCAGATCTCACCCAGCAAGCCGCTTCCGATTTCTGCAAGCGGCCCCCAGCAGAACAAAATTGAGTTTTCTCTGCATCCCATTTTGCTTCTTGTTTCTTTTTCCCCCTTTCCGGCAGGTAAAAATGGAGGAGCTGAGCCAAGCCCTCGCCTGCAGCTTTGCCGTCTCCCAGGACCTCAACAGCACAGCGGCACCCCATCCCCGCCTGGCGCAGTACAAGTCGAAATACAGTTCCTTGGAGCAAACGGAGAGAAGACGCCGACTCCTTGAGCTTCAGAAGACGTAAGAGGCGCCCCTCGCACCCCCTGTCTCGCCTTGAAAGGATGGGAGCCGTCAGATCTGCCCGTTGCTGGGCTCCAGGTCTTAGAAAAAAAATTAAGCCTTTTGGGCTACAATTCCCAGACTCACCTATGGTGGTTTGAGGGACTGTAGTTGGGGGGTGCTGGCTGGAGAGCTCAGTGGTTGAGGTCTCTGGCTGCGGAGCCAGAAGTTGGGAGTTCGATTCCCCCATGGGGCCTTCCTACGATTCGAGCCAGCCTGGGTGGCCTTGGGTCATTATTATTATTATTATTATTATTATTATTATTATTATTATTATTATTATTATTATTATTATTATTATTATTATTATTATTATTATTATTATTATTATTATTATTATTAATTCATTCATTCATTCATTCATTCATTCATTCATTCATTCATTCATTCAAAAATACCGGGCACAGTAAATCGAAATTATAAAACCATTGACTGGTATTACGTAACAGATACAAGTTTTTAACCAAAGACTTAACTGTCTGCTAAATGTTAACGTAGTACAGTATATGCGTTGTTCCTAATATTGTCATTTTTTTGTAACTGTGATGTTATTTCTTCTTCTTTATCATCCACCTTTTCTAATATATGCCTGGCTCTGCAAGGACTTTCACCAAGGTTCTCTGCTTCTTCTCCTGTTTTCTTTTCACCCTGATTCTGAGTTTAGAATTGAGATTGACTACCTGTGCTTTGAGTGTTTTTTTGGGAGGGGAGGGAAAAGTCACTTTAATTTAGCTTTTGCTTTTTCAATTTAGCTTTTGCAAATTTTTTGGGACTGTGGGTGCCAGATCTGCTTCTCAAACATTTGTGGGAGTTATAATCTAGAGAGAGAGAGAGAAATTTCTCCAAGCTGCTGGTTTTACCATCGTTGATTTTGCTTTGTCATGTTTATCTCTTTGTCTTTCTCTCTTAATGAATTGCTGCTGGAATGTTTCACTTTCTAGCTGTCCGTTCTGGAATTCATGTGATGCTTGTTTAGATCTGTCCAATTCATTCTTGTTTTTTATTGGAAATGTGATTTTAAATCTGTGTTTATTTCTTTCTGCATTCAATATGCTATCCAGAGAGCTGTTTTGACGAGGAAACTGGTTGAAGGATACCTGTTTATTTAGCTATACGTAACTCCACACCTGTTTATTTAAACTTACACACCTATTTAACTATACATGCTTGTACATTAGTTCACGTTACGTCACATGATGTTGTGTTATATTGCATTATCCTACTAACTGCAGTACACATCTTTTTAATTTAACTATACATACTTGCACATTGCATCATGCTATGTCACATGTTATGTTATATTACATCACATGATGGGACGTCTAATTGCAATACTCAGTTATAATCTGAGATCAAGGGGGGAAAGTCAGCTTGTCCTGGATTTCTCATCAGAACGTGAACATACTTACTTAAGCTGGCTCTTCATCCACCCCCTGTACTTTAGAGATTTTCCTTGTGGCCTTCTGGAGGAGGCAAAAAATAATAATAATCAATCTTTCTTCCCACTCCCACCCCCCACCTGTCAAGTAAGCGGCTGGATTATGTAAACCATGCTAGGAGATTGGCGGAGGACGACTGGGCAGGAATGGAGGAGGAAGAGGAGGAGGAGAAGGACGCTGTCAAAGCACCGGCTGAAGACATGGAGGTAGAGTTGGTGAAGAAGCTACCCAAGAGGTATGCCAATCAGGTGAGTGGTGGCCGATGGCATCGGAGGACCAGCAGCCTGGTTCTCTCCTGGGGGGGAACAGTCACAAACAGGCAAAGTTTTCACTCCTCTCTCGGCGTTCTCTCCCAATTAATAGAGGAGCTTAAGGTGTTCCTCAGTCCAAGGGGGAAAGAATCGCAAATCATCTTGTGGTATCTGCTTTTATTTGGTATCATTTATTTATTTAAACTATTTATATCCCCCCTTTCTAATAAAGGGTCCAAGGTGGGGTTTACCAGATTGAAAGAAGCCAAGTTAAAAGCTAAAATGATGCAAAATTATATTTTGTAATTTAATTTAAAAAGAAAGCTAAAATGATACACATGATTGCCATGTTTTAAGAAAGGATTAAACAAGTATCCTATTCAAATAAGAGCAATCTTAAAACCACAAGTAAAATAATAGGGTGCAAGAATCTCTTTTTAAAAAGTGTTCATGAAGTGCAGCTCCGTTGGTGTGTTTGATGAAGTTCGGGAAAGCTTTGATGTGTGAGTTGCTGAGGCAAGTGTTAATTGATGAATACAGTGAAATCAGAAAGCCTCTTTTCTCTTCCCCCCCCCCATCCCGCTGTTGGGTCGTATTTCCCATGGCTCATCTCTGGTAGGGGGTACCCTCAGAAATTGGAGACCCCTGTGTTTATTTTATTGACTTGTATGGGCTTTTGAACTAGGAAGTATCTGTCTGGATTTAAAAGTGCATCGCACTGGATAAAGCTATATTGGAGAAAGGACTCCCATGTTGTGTTAGATATAAATTGAGAGAACTAGCAGACCTATGTGGGTCAGTGTGAGGTCTGGGAGTGCCTTCGTCTTGTTGAAAGGGGGTCAGGGAGCAGTTGTGTAAATGCACAACGCTGAGTACACAGGGAGTAGGAAGACAACATGACAGGAATGGAGAAGCCGATGCAAGTAGAAATGACGGATGTTACACCCAGTAAAGGAAGGCAGGTCATAAGAATAATCCAGTCATACGTTTTCTGTTCTTCAGCAGTTCTCAGTTGTGAAACCTCTATCTTTAATTAATGAATTAATGTGCGGGGGGGGGGAGAGAAAGTTTTCTAAGTGGAAGCAAAAAAAGGAAAAAAAATGACAGTGCAGGAACCGAGATAGTCATTCAGTACAAAAATAAAATCCTCATAATAGAGGCATCTGTCAAAATGATAATAAAAATAGCGTAAAATCCATTGAAATCAAGGGAAGACAGATTGTCTCTCTTGTCTGCTTCATTCTCGAAGCCTTCCATAGTAACTTTTTAAGGTTTTCTGGGCCTCGCGGCCCCTTCTGAGCTACATTTTAAGCCTGAAAGTAACTCCTACCTCCCAGCATCTCTAGTGCCTAGTTTCTGCAGCTTTGGCGTGCAAGCGGAAAAAAAACTGAATGCAGACCCCTGAGAATTTTTTTTCTGGACTATTTTTAATGTAATGGATATGGGGAATCAGCGTTTGCAACAAAACCCTGCTTCTAACTCTTTTGTTCGGCCAGTTTTCTGAGAACGACTCTAGCCGCTTCCTTAATTTTTCTCTCGGTCTGCCCGCACACGCTCCCTTTCGGCGTTGTCTCAGAAACAGGTGTGGTGGTTACAGGTTATCATTATTATGGCTACCCAGCTGCACAGTGGCAAGACAAGGGCTGTTCTTATCAGCCAGCAAGAGCTTATCCTCCGAGGATGCCCCTCGTAGAGATTATGTCCCAAGGCCTCTTGCGAAGGTCAAGGGAGCCTCTCGGCCCCTGCAGCCAAGATTGTGCACAGCCAGCGTTTTCCACCCGGCTGCCTCCGCTGCTGGCTGCATTTTTAGCAAAATTGATTTGGATTTCCACCGTCGGCCTTGAGGGATCGTCTGGTGCAGCCGGTTGGACTTGAACGCCCACTGGGCAAAGGAAATCGCTGTTTGTCAAATTGGGCAACTGGAAAGCCAGAGGTCTGAAGTCAACGGCTACTAGCCGTTGGCTAGTCCCAGACAGAACACGTTCACTATGTCCGTCGCTGAAAATAGGGTGGTGAGGCAAATGTAAATCCTGCTAATGATTGGGTCTACTCTGGTTGTGACTGTGAGTTGGATTCAGGGCCGGTGAAGCCCTGGACCCGTTTCCTTTCATTTTACTTGCTATGGGTCTGTCCAAATCTCACAATTCTTCAGAATAAGCAGAGTTGGTTTGACAGTAAATCAGAATTTGGGGATCTGTCCTAGGTAGAAGCAGGTTGTAGCCTCCTCTGGTTTGGAATCGGGTGCAATCAGAAGCAGGCTATTTTGGGATGCTCCAGATGTGGGTGGCTAAGGAGAGTTGTGGTCTCCCAACATCTGGAAGGGCCCCTCATCCTGACTCTGGGCTTGAGCTATCGCTGGTAGAGTTCTTTTCCAGCTGTACCAGGAATTGAATCCGGGGCCCTGTTTGTAGGGTAGCGAAGCGGTCAGGTTGTGAGCGCTGTCACCCAGAAAAAAGACCGCCGCCTTCTGGACTTGAAGGGGTTTTAGAATGACAAAATCAACCGTGTTAACTGAGCCCCTTTTCAGAAAAAAGACTGCCGCCTTCTGGACTTGAAGGGCTTTTAGACTTTTAGAATGACGAAATCAACCGTGTTAACTGAGCCCCTTTTCCTTCTCTGTTTCCCCGCAGCTGATGCTGTCCGAATGGCTCATCGAGGTCCCCCAAGACCTCAGTCAGGAGTGGCTTTTGGTGGTGTGTCCTGTGGGGAAGAGGGCCTTGATCGTGGCCTCCAAGGTAAAAAGGGGTGGGTGGGGAGGGTGGCCTGATTCCTGGGCAGCTGATCTCGTGAACGTGCGAGCCTGCCTTTTGCCCTCTTCTGAATGGGGTGGCTTGGCTTCCTTAAAAAGAGAAAGAGGTTGTGCTTTTCCCCCTTCAGGGCTAAAGGATGAGCCTCACAAAATTCCGATGTATCTTCTGTTCCCCAACCCTGTGTGTTTTGATGATTGAGAAACGTTTCACATTCAATTTTGTGCTGACTTCTGGTTCATATTCAAACCTGGCCTTTCTCCGTGGGCTTCCAGGGGACTTGCTCTGCATCATCCTAACAATGGTCTGCGGTCAAGTCAATTCTGATTCATGGTGACCCTTTCCAGGGTTTCCCTGTTAGAGAATACTCAGGAGTGATTTACAATTCCCTTCTTGGGGCTGGGGGGGGGGCATCCTCAGTCTGTGCAGCTTGGCCAAGGCCACCCAGGCTGGCTTTACTCACCGGAGGCCCAGTGGGGGAATCAAACTCCCAACCTCTGGCTCCGCAGCCAGAGGTAAGACTGGCTATAAAACACATAAGCTTTTCTTAAGTTATCCATATTGCATTCTTAGTTCGTTATGAGCAGCTACAACTGAATCCATAATTGTTTGAATGTATTAACTGTGCTTAGCTGGCTGGATCGCTCAGTGGTTTAGGTCTCTAGTTGGGGAGCCAGAGGTTGGGAGTTTGAATCCCCCACTGTGTGTCTCCTGGGAGAAGAGCCAGCCTGGATAGCCTTGGGCCAGCTGCACCATCCCAGGGCGCCCCTAGAGGAAGGGAAGGGTAAAGCGCTTCTGAGTACTCTCTACCTGGAAATCTCTGAAAAGAGATAGTCATAAATCAGAATTGACTTGACGGCGCATGATTATTATTGTTAAGGCCGTCGTCTTGAGTTTCTCAAAGCAATGATGAAGAAGGATGGTTTGGGGATCTGTTTTTTTTGTAATGTTTCTTTTTCTCTCCTCAAATCACTATCCACTATCTACATGGTTTTGCTGTACAAAAATCCTTCTGGTTTGTTTTCTCTCTCCCCCCCCCTTTTTCCTACCTTGCAGGGCTCTACTGCAGCTTACACCAAAAGCGGATTCTGCGTCAACCGGTTCCCTTCTCTCCTCCCTGGGGGCAACCGCCGCAAGTCCGCAGCTGGAAAAGGTTTTCATCTTACTTTTTCTCTTCTGTGTTTTCCCCCTGCAAGACCTCAAGGGGCGGGGGGGGGAAGCAGTACTCAAAGTGAGCGGCTTAAACCGTTCTTCTTATAATGCCGCAGGACGAGCAAGTTTCCTTGCTGATGTCAGTGGCACACGGCGTGGAAAAATCACAGGGTTCAAACGCCAACTCCCTGAATTCTCTTTGAAACCTGCAAATTTTCCCACGCTGCGCCTCTGGGGTGCCTGCTTTGAGGCGGCAGTAGGAGCCAAACCCCAGGCTGGGAAGATCCGATGCGAGCCAAACACCTGTGCTTCTTAGGCCAGTGGCGTGTCTTGCGTGGAGCTGAGCACACAGGTGAAAGCTTTTCTCCTCATTGGCCTCTTCAGATTACACGATCCTGGACTGCATCTTCAACGAAGCTCAGCAGACGTTCTACATCCTTGACGTGATGTGCTGGCGCGGGCACCCCGTGTACGACTGCCAGGTAACAGCGCCTCCCTTCTCTGGTTGTTTTCATCCTCGGTAAATACGCCCTCCTCTTTCTGTGCTGCATTCAAACCTATTTGGAGTGGACAGGTTGAGGTGATCCCCCACGTAGCGTGGATGGTGATGTGGTCCTTTTCCAAGCCCGTGGCTTCCTATCTAGAACCACTGAATATTTCATGTTTGGAGTGTTGCAGCCGCTTTATCCTGGATCTGGCCCTTGGTCCATTTCCCTTGTTATCCCTGACACTTCCAGGCAGTGGCTGTCCGTCGTTTTGGGTGGCGTTCCATGTTAGAAAAATGTGTTGAACCCGGTACATTTCACACCCGAAGCAGGTGTTTGGCTGTTGAGCGGCAACGTCTTTTCTCACGCTTAACAAAACCGGATGTTCGGTGGAGCTTTAGGCTGTCTGTTCTTGATGGGCCCCAATGCAAAATTATCTCTCTCTTTTTTTCCCCCTTCTGCAGACAGATTTCCGATTCTACTGGCTGCATTCGAAAATACAGGAGGAGGCTGGCCTGGGCGAAAAAAGTCGGCTGAACCCAGTAAGTCCCTGCTTTGGAAGTGCAAATGGTATAGGGTTAGCCTCTCCACCCTTAAATGTTCTTACAGGTGCCGACCTTCATCTTCCAGCGCCAGGAGCTCCCCTCGAACCAGGAGCTCTCAAGTCCCAACTCCAGGTCTAACCCTCTAACCACTACACCACATGTCCTTAGGGAGAAATGGGCGGGGCTGCCCCATTGCATGCCCTACCTTTGAGTCACAGGTTGAAGGTGTTGTACATTCCTAGGAAAACCTCACATCTTTTGGAAAGATGTCATGCGCCCTTGAAAATCTGTCCGAATTGGCCTCTTTAAACCCAGAGCCAAACATGATTATGGAGGGTATGTACAGTGGTGCCTCGCATAGCGATCACTCCGCATAGTGGCAAAATCGCTTTGCGATGGACTTTTTGCCATCGCAAAAGCGATCGCTTTGCGATGGTCCCTATGGGGTATTTTCGCTTTGCGATGATCGCAGGGAAGCGATCATCACAAAGCAACCCTTTTTGCACAGCTGATCGACGGTTTCAAAATAGCCGCCAGGTGAACAAAATGGCCACCCGCTGTTTTCAGGGATGGATTCCTCACTATAGAGGCACCGAAAATGGCGGCGCTATGGAGGATACTCGCTTAAAGGTGAGTTTTAAGCCCATAGGAACGCATTAATCGGGTTTTAATGCATTTCTATGGGCTTTTTTATTTCGCTTAGTGATGTTATCGCTTAGCAGTGATTTTTTCTACACGAATTAACATCGCTAAGCGAGGCACCACTGTATTTCCCACCCCACAGGGAAGAGTTATTCCTCGGCAGCCTGGCCGATACGTCTAAGAAGGATGCAAAAGGAAGGTTCCTCCACTCTTTTCCCCCATCCCATCAGTGACTGCTTTTGAAGGTGCACTGCCATGGCACGTGAAGGTTCTATTGAATTGGGGTTAGGTGAGCGGAAACACTTGTCCCCAGCATATCTGCTTACTCCTGATATGGTCTTCCCTTTCCTTTCTTTTTTCTTTTTCCCTTCTCCAGTTTAAGTTTGTGGCCCTGCCCAGTTATCCCTGCTCACCGGAAAGCCTGTGTAAGGTTCTCAGCACGGATTTTCCCTTCGAGGTAAGCGCATCGTCTTTCCAGCCCAAATCTTTATTGCTTTAAAGGTTGACTTGGATGTTCATGGAGCTGAATTCTAATCCGCAGTACGACCTCTTATGAGTGAGAATCGCATTCAGACACATGCACCTTTGGATGGATGGATGTGTTAATAATTCTGTAAATCTGCGCAAGATTTCTTGTGTATGGTTTATTTTACAAATTGTGGGAAAAGGAACTGCTAGATAGCTCAGTGGTTTAGGGTATCTGGCTGAAGAGCCAGAGGTTGGAAGTTCGATTCTCCACTGCCCGCCTCCTTGACAGCGACTGGACTCAAATGATCTATAGGGTCCCTTCCAGTTCCGCAGTTCTAAGATTTATATGTTCCTGTTAAACACAGCTGGGTTCTAAGTATGTTGTAGTGGATAGAGCGACGGACTAGGACTCTGGAGAACAGGGTTCAAATCCCTGACTCGGCCATGGAAACTGACTAGGGAGAGTGGAACTGGTAAAACCGCTCCTTAAATATCCCACTTCCCTTGAAAGCCCAGGGAGGATTGCTAGAAGTCAGTTCCAACTTGACAGCCCATATCAACAACGACTTTACATACAACTAAAGACAGTCATGGTTTGGAATTGCACCTGGGCCGATTTAGCCGTAAATGCCTCTAAAGCAAGACGGGGAAAACGAGAAGCAACCTGGGATTTTCCTGGTTTGGATGCAAGGCCGGAGTCGCCAGGAAAGAGCAGCAGGGTGTTTTTGATGGGAAAGGAAAAGCAACGAGGGGTGTGTGTGCAAAGTCTGTCCGGCTACCCGGGGGGCGGTGTCGGCAGCGTCTGAAGCAGGCCACGGGTAGCCCTCGGCCTCTGGGTTTAGCTCTCAGAAAGGCAGATTACGTAGGACGTCGCTTTGCTTTTGAGCAGAGATGCTTTTAAGAGGGGTGTGTTTCTTTCCCAATAGATTTCTATTTTTAAAATCCTTTGGGAAGGCAGAGCGGGTGGGGCGAAGGGTCTCGAAGGGCCCTCCCATTGCCAGCGACAGTCCCCCAGTACAGTTTGCAGGAAATCCTCTTTCGGACCATTTCTGTTTGTACAGAAGATGACGGGGTCCCCAAACAAGCTGCTGAGGGAGGACTCTATAGACGGCCGCCCAGCTGTAGCAATTCTGCTGAGCGAAGACTCTATAGACGGCCGCCCAGCTGTAGCATCCAAAGGGTTACTTAGGTCTCTGATCTGCTTGATGAATTTCGCGTTAGTCAGCGTTAGGGATTAGGCTGTCTCCCTCTTGAGTGTGCTTCCCAGAAACTGGATGTTTCAGATCGGTTGGGGGAAGGAGAGCGTACTGGAGTAGACCACTTACTAATGTTGCCCTGCCTTAAGAAGATTGGTAAAAGAGCTTGCAAACTCTGGTGGTGGGTTATCAAGTCACCCCTGACTTCTGGCCACCCTACAGAGGAGTGATTTCCAAAAGGTCCCATTCTCAACAGCCCAGTCCAGCTCTTGCAAACTCAGGCCTGTGGTTTCCTTTAGGGAGTCTATCCATCTTGTATTGGGTCATCCTCTTTTCCTGCTGCCTGCCCACCTTTCCCAGTGTTATGGTCTTTTCCCAGAGAATCCTGCTTTCTCAGGATGTGCCCAAAGGAGGACAGTCTCAGTTCTAATATTCAGTCTTGACTTATTCTAGGACCTGCTTGTTTGTTTGTTCTGGGAGTCCAGGGTATTCGCGAAGCTCCCCTCCAGCACCGCATGTCAAACCAATCAATTTTTTTTCCCCGCCGCAAACTCTGGCCCTAGTTTTATGATTGGTTTTGTAGTAGGTTCCACTAGAGGGCATCCGACCGGTCTCTGTCAAGCCCCACCGATAGGCTCTTACAGAAATTGCCCGTGCGGCTTCTACAAGCCGAGAAAGGAGTATATAAGAAGCTCATGACACATTCATGACACTAGGTTGTTCCTTTTTGCTGGAGAGCTCAGTGGTTTAGGTCTCTGACTGTGAAGCCAGAGGTTGGGAGTTCGATTCCCCTCTTCGCTTCCTTGACGGGTTGGATTCCACAATCCAGAGGATCCCTTTAAACTCTGCACTTTGATGATAATGACGAAGAATGTCATTATCATCTGGGGGTTTTTTTTCCAGCTTTATGAAGGTCTGGCTGTTATGCTTGGGTTACAGAACTACCTTTCTTCCTTAAAAGCTAAGCCTCTGGACCCAAAAAAAAAAGTCATAATTTCACAGGCTAAAAACCCAAAATCCGTTTCTGCGCCAAACCTGCACTGCTTGACCCCAGGAGGCAGGATGATTAGTCTCCCCGCTCAGCTGCTGAGTGGTCAACAGCGCAGGGAGGCGAGGAAGCCCCAGTTGGGTTACTTCCGCGACTGGCGCAGCGTGAACGAGGACAGCCACACGCGGTAAGAGGACTGGCCATTTCTGGGGGGGCGGAAGACTCAAAGGACCCCGGCCACCTGTGCTGGCGTTACTTGTATTTGTCTCCCCCAGGAGACGAATTCGAATATCCCGTCTCTGATAGGATGACAACAAAAGATAAATTGACCAGATAATCCTCATTGGGGTGTTCTAAAAGAAAATGGGGTGCATCCTAGCCTCTGTGCCTCCAGCAGGATGATGTGTGATTAAGGACAGAGAGAGAGAGAGAGAGAGACAAACACATATCCATGATGGTAGCAGTCGGGAGACATGGAGAATTCTGCCTTAGAAAGGCAGTTTTAAAAATATAGCTCCTGTTATTCCGTCTTCTCCAGCCGCTCGTGTATTGACAGACAAACACATACCCATGATGGTAGCAGTCGGGAGACATAGAGAATTCTGCCTTAGAGAGGCAGTTTTAAAAATATAGCTCCCGTTATTCCGTCTTCTCCAGCCGCTCGTGTTTATTTAATGCCCCGTCTGTCTCCTTGCGACCGACTGAGTCACGGCCCTGACGCCAGCCGAATCGGGGAAAGAGGCTAATGTTACTCTGTCTGGTCAGAGGCTGGGGTTTCCCGGGAAGGAAGTGCATCAGCACTTTCTGCCCCTGAGATTTGGGGCTGCCTGAAGACCTCGGTTCCAGGCCGGGGAGTCAGATGGGCAGAGCTTATGTGTTTTGTAGGGTGGCTTTTGTGAATCTGGGGGGCTGTTTTGCCCTAATGTACAGCTGCTCAGTCCCTGATCCACCTCACACTTAGTCCCACAACTGGAACAGCGTATACTCAGATGCCTGTGGCAGTCACTTCTGTAAAATGAGGTGGGAAAGAGCATGGGAAGATCGTTCGTTCGTTCGTTCATTCATTCATTCATTCATTCATTCATTCATTCAACTTATATACCACCCATCTGGCCTGTGGCCACACTGGGCAGTTGACAACACAAAAGTTACACAAACAAACGCATATCAAACAACTCAACTATAAAATAAAACACAGCGCTTTCAAACAATATAAAAGGCACTCTAAAATGCCTAGACATTTAAAATGGAGTCAATAACATTGTTGGCTGTTGGCTTCGTCTTCAGTGGGACGAGAGCTTTGAAAGGCCTGCCAAGTTTTTCGTTGTTTCTTAAAAAGTCCCCAGCCAAGGGGCCGGAGGAATGGTAGGGAGTGGATTCCATAGTTGGTCATTTTTAGAGAGCCTCTGCTCCACCAGAGGTTTCTAAGGGTGTGATTTGTTTTTGAATCTGGAGGGAGTGTTGAGTGGGGGGGAACTGTACTGCTTCTCCATAGCGGCAGGTGGCCACCCTCTCTTTCAACTACTGCCAGATTCCTGTTAGCTGCACCCACTGGGGTAAATTTTATCAAGAAACGGCAGCACATGGAGCAGACTGCATATGCATGTACTGACAAAGCTCCGTTTAGGATCCTCGTGCATCACTGTTTACTGTAAGTCTTCTCCAGCCGGATATTCTTCCACGGTGTATGTGGCTCCCCATCATTGAGCTGGGCTGAAAAAATGTCAAGCTGAGGTTTTCCAGAAAGGCAGGACTGGAAGCCACCCAGTTCGGCAGGAAATGCCAAGGCTGACGCTTGAGACACCAGATCAGCAGGAGGCTGGGGATGACCCCAAGGACCCATGGAGCAGCCAATCCACACTCAGTTTTAGTCCGAATGTTTCCAAGGTGCTGAACCTGGTTTAGGGATAAGCTTCAGCACCTTGGGAGGCAAAATCTGGGCTGAAAGCCAGAGTCCCCAGCTTTGAAGTGTTGGAATCAACAGCCTCCTATGGAACATGCCATCTTGGTTTAATGTTACATCTGAGGCATCCCAGTGGGTGCCCAATGTTCAGGAAGAAATGTACAGAGGTCTTGTCCTTTTCCCCTCCTCCTTTTCTCATAATCTACATGTTGGAGATGAAGGGCCAGTATCCTGTTGCATCTTTTCCACTTGTGTGGCACTTTCATGGCGAGGTTCTCCCTGACCTTCCCTGCTACCGCTTTACACAGACAGAAACATTGACTGCTGTTTTCTGCAACTTCTGTTGCATAAATCTGTTGCGGAAATTGAGATTTTGCAGGAATAACCTAGAGAGGGTGTCGCGTTATGCCCCATCGCCAACAGCCGTCTCAGCCTATGCGTTCAGAGATCCGAGACAGACACACGCAGGCAGAAAGACTTTGCAATGCCTTTTGACTCCTACGACAGCCCGCCCCACTGTGTTCTGCAGTTGTGGGACTCCAGCTCCCATCCTCCCCATTGGCCATGCTCTATAGGGATGGTGAATATGGCATTTCTGCACTTCGGAAAGGCATTGGGCTGGGTGAGAGATGTCCTGTGGCCTGGGGGCACCCGTGAAATCCCAGATTTAGTCCTTGGTTGGGAAAAGAGGGCCAGGAGAAATCTCTTTTTGATGGGCAGGAAGAAGCCTTGAGCTCCCTTTTAAAGAGGATAAATTCCTTTGAACCTGAGCTTTCTTTGCATCGGAGGATGCAAAGAATACATTTTCTCAAGGTTAGTTGTGGCTGAGATATTGATCCGATCCCTTACTGTTGCTTCTTTCTTTTTCTCCCCCTCCCCTTTCGCCCTAAGCCTTCCAGCTCTTGAGCTTTTACAGAAAGAGGATGGTCTCTCTCTCTCTCTCTCTGCGGGTCCGTAGAGAAGGGAGACCACCTTACCTGCAAGAGAAGGAGGAGAGGCTGGCAGGAGATCCTCCTGCAAAAAGCCCATCTTTCGTCTTGATCGAGATTGTTCTTCCTGCCTTTCCTACCCTCCTTTCCCTGGCTTGCCACTAGATTTTCCGTAATCATCCGTTCCGTAGCCGGCACAAACAGCCTTCTAAAAGCAGGGGCCCATTTAGCGGAAAGGCGCAAAAGCTCCGATCTTAGCCCTCTCTCCGCCAAGCAGGGTGTAAAACTCTGCTCCTTTTCTCCCCCTCTCCCCCGAGATCAACCAGAAGGAGTAAGCCTAGGAAAATCTCTCTCTTTTTTTGTAAAGCAATGTAAAGGGAGGACTAAGTGGGAAGCAGCCCATCTTTGAAAAGGAAATCTCTCTCTTTTTTTTGTAAAGCAATGTAAAGGGAGGTCTAAGTGGGAAGCAGCCCATCTTTGAAAAAAGGGGGGGGGTTGGAAACAGTGACCAGCTTCAGTATTGGAGAGGGAGGAAGTGAGGGCAAGAAAATGATGGCTTTGCGGAGTCCCGAGTGCCCTTAATTCCCATCGATTGGGACAAGGGGGGAGGCCTCTGGGGGTTTATTAAGCTTTGCTTCAGCTTGTGCAAGGACAAAGATCAAAACGTAAGGATGTTTCCGCTTATAAATCACTTTGAAGACACCCTGCACGATCTGGGTGCGACTAGGACAGGCCCATTGAAAGGAACGGGGGCATGTCAGTGTCTGCTGAAATCCTGCTGATTTTAACAGCCGGCCGTACCTTAGCTGGGGCTGGAAATGGGACTTCGCCTGCCCTGAAACAGGCATTTCTTGGCACCGTTGAATGAACGAGTGGATGTCTTTCTTAACTGCTACGGTATCCATTTATTATGCGACTTGGGTGTTGTAGGAAACAGTGCCATGTTTTTTAAGGAATGTTGGTACAACTTGGCTGTTTGGTTAATTTTGTGCCATAGAAAAGTGTGACGCGACACACACGCATCCTGGTGTCCCCGGGGCTTACAAATGAATCATTTCATTCACTCATGAGAAATCTTGGTTATCCATTTCCCCCACCAGCACCAAAACCTGCTGCTTTTTCAGCTTGAAGCGGTGGATTTAATGGGACCCGTTCCTCATTTTACCCCAGCATTCTATCCCTACATATTTGTTGTCTGTAAGCCCTACTTTTGTGGGACAATCAGGTTTTGAGGTCCTCTAGATATGAAGCTAGAGGGAGCAGGGATCCCCCCTTTGTGTGGGGGGGAGGGAAGCAGGGGGGTGGCTGAGAGAAACAGTGCCTGCAATAAGGGGGTGTCAGAGCATCCCATAATAGTACCAGACCAGGTAGGACATAGGTGCGCCAAGTGCAGGCTGGCATCCCATAAACCCCTTGGAGGTTCCTCTTATCCGCGGATGCCCCTGTTTCTGCTGTGGCCTCTGGCACCGTCTGGCCCTGTTTTTGTAATTTAAAAAAACCATATACAACAACAAAATACAAATAATAGCGCTTATTATAAACTAAATTCTAATGTGTACACGGATGCCCCCGTTTCTGCTGTGGCCTCCGGCACCGTCTGGCCCTGTTTTTTTAATGCCAAAAAAAATATACAACAAAATACAAAAAATGCAAATACAGTAATAGTGCTTATTATAAACTAAATTCTAACGTGCACCCCATGCCCACAAGACCCGATTTAACGATATTTTAATTACAGACTACCTCTCCAAAGCCCACAAGACCCCATTTAACGATATTTTAATTACGGACTACCTCTCCAAAATTGTATAGAGTATTCTTTAGAGGCTTTCCCCCTTCCTTTCCTTAACACAAATTCCACAGATTTACCCCAAATATCCTAAAAATTGTTAGAACTTATTTCCCCTTTTTTATTTTGAGTTCAGTAGTCAATTTATCGTTTAATGCAATGTCCCATACTTCACAATACCAATCTTCTATTTTAATATATGGCCCTGTTTTAAAGCAGGAAGCTGAATGCAAAGGATCCGTTTTCTGCTTCCTTTTAAAATTTCCTTTTTCCTTTCTTGAAGCGCCAGGGACCATTCCGGAGGGGGTGGGTATACCTTCCCCCGGGGCCTAGGGAAGCTGCCCACCTCTGGAACAGGGCGTCCCCTTTTGACTACAGTAGGACTGTGGCATCTCCAGAGGATCGGTTTCAAGCAACCGTGGATGCTGAGGAAGTATCAGACACTATACAAATTGCATGCTCTTGGGCTCCCATAGTGGCCAGTGCTGGTAAATATACACTTGGAAAGGCATATCAATAAGTATTTCTGGGTTTTTTATTTAGCATTTTGACTTAGCGGATAAGTGAATCAGCGGATAAGTGAATCAGCGGATACTGATCCTGCGGATAGTAGGGTCCTACAGTCCTGATCTTCCCCCTTTATTTTTGCAGGTGGACGGGCTTCTCTTCTACCACAAGCAAAGTCATTGTATTTCTGGGGTTTTTATTTAGCATTTTGACTTAGCAGATAAGTGAATCAGCGGATAGGTGAATCAGCGGATACTGATCCTGCGGTTAGTAGGGTCCTACAGTCCTGATCTTCCTCCTTTATTTTTGCAGGTGGATGGGCTTCTCTTCTACCACAAGCAAAGTCATTACCACCCCGGCAGCACTCCGCTCGTGGGTTGGCTCCGTCCCTACATGGTGTCCGACATCCTGGGGCTGGCCGTGCCTGCCTGCCCGCTGACGGCCAAGCCGGCCTACGCGGGGCAGCAGCTGCAGCAAATCATCGAGCAGAAAAGAAGTAAAAACCGGGGAGCGAAGGAGGGCTCCCCGGAGACCGAGACGCCTCCCCGAGACGGCTGCTATGAGCTGGAACACTTATCCACGCCGAAGGCGGAAGGGTCTCCTTCAGCCCCACGGGATGTCGCCAGTGAGATGGAGAATTAAGAAGTGCTGCGGGCACCCTGAAGACACGGGGTGGGCGTTCTCCCTCGGCCCTTTCATGCACACGAGGTTCGGGAGGAGGGCAAAATGGCACGAGGACAGCAGCTCTCATTTTGAGTTGCTTTGAGCTGGAAGGCATTGTTTCGTAGCTGTGCCTCGCTCTTTGAGCAAAACGGGGATTTAAAGTTCTCAAAACACCAGCGGTTCTGCGGTTAGTTTTATTTAAAAAAATTGATGGGATTGGATGTAGCGAAACTGGTAAATTGGTAAATCACTCCTCCCTGCATCATAGCAGCTTTGAAGATTTATATTTTTGCCATCTCCAAGGCTGCTCAATTTGGCAAAAAAAATCCAATCCCATTTTTAAAAAAAAATGTTGGGGGAAGGAAATGAGGAAATAAATAATAATTAGATGCACACATTTTAGATAACCACGTTTTGCCAGGACCACACGCCTTCACTCATCTTAAAGTTGATCACTGCAAATGTCAACAAAAATAAGCCTTTTTGCATTTCACTGTTCACAAAGAAGACTCATTTCCCATTCTTCTTTGCACAAAGGGTGCGTATGAAACAACGAGGGAGCTGTTTCCCACTGTTTAGGTTTTAGATGCACTGAATAAAGACGTTCTGGGAGATATAAAAATACTGTTGTGTCTTATTAGATGATCATCAAAGGGTTACCTTTTCTCATTCTTTCTCTCTGTAGGACCCCCGTATCTGTGGGATCAAGATTTGTGGTTTCCCTTATCTGGTCTAAAAGTATTTTTAAAAGTAAATCAGGAAATATGTATTACCAGATCTGGTCCCTAGAGGGAACCAGAGAATGTGCTATCAACGCTTGTTGTAGAATACATAGCATGGTCTCCAGCTCCCTTTAGTGGCCAATGCTGGTAATGCACGTGAAAAAAAATATGTATTCATTTATTTAAGTTATATGCCGCCCACTCTACCCAAAGGTCTCTGGGCAGCTTACCATTAAATTACAATTTTCTGAATTTTTTCCCCCATGCGATGTGTAGCGTTCACCATTACCCACAGTTTTCAGCTGTGAAAAAATATGTATTTATTTATTTAACTTATTGCTGCCCACTCCACCCAAAGGTCTTTGGGTGGCTTACAATTAAATTACATTTTTTTGAATTTTTTCCCCCGTGCTATGTATAGCGTTCACCATTACCCACAGTTTTCAGCATCCACAGGGGGCTTGGAACCAATCCCCCATGCAGCCTACTGTCTCTTCATATCTCTTCCTACTTGTTTTGTTGCTCCTTACCAAAGTTACATTTTCCACTGAGCTTGGGAATCATTCTGCGATTTGGAATCCCCCCAAAAAAATAACATTTCCCAGATCTTTCCCCCTGCTTCCAATAGCACTGTTCTTCCTTGCTTCTCCCTGCGATGAACTGCAAGGCCTGGAACACTGTGTACTTTGTTGTTTCTGGTTTATTGGCCGAAATCTTCTGGAGCAGTTGCGCAACTGTCATAAACATTTTGAGTTGAATTGCTGCAAATTCAGATACGCTCCATATTCTGATCCTTTGCACGCTGCTTTTGCCGGGTTCAGTATAGTTGGGGAAGGGATTCAAACCACCTGATTTCGAGCAGAGCTATTTATGAGGCTGGGTTTCTAAGAGTTGTACCAGGATTGGTTGAGGTTTGTTGTCAGAAAGGGTCCATTTGGCAAACTGCTTATCCTGTCAATCTGCACGAGATTTCTCGTGTACTACTTATTTGGCAAATGCTGGGGAAAGGAACTGCCCGAGAGCTCAGTGAGAGTTTCCCCCTCTTGTGTCTCCCTGATGGGCTGGACCTGATGATCTATAGGATCCCTTCTAGCTCTGAACTTCTAGGATTGATTGATTGATCGACTGGCCAACTGATTTACAAGGAGCAAAGCCAGATGCTCATCTGATGTAATACATTTTACCACCAGTTACCAGCTCTGTCTGCGCCACCCATCACAGCCTTAAAACTTACTTTTTAAAATGATTGAAGACAGAGACCGATTCTTAAGTCCTGCACCAAACTGTTCCATACTCTGCTCTTGTGTTTCCCTTTTTTTTCCCCCACTCAAAAGAATTATGGTCTCTGAGGCTCCCTGGATATTTTCCCGAGGTCAGAGAAATGAATGCGGGGTTAGATTTGATCCCGGTTCATCCTGTTTTTAAAAGGCATGAGAGAATTGGAGAGAACTGGGAATCGGAAGATCGAGCAAGCCACTTTAGAGTTAAAAAAAGAGAGAGATTTTTTCTCTCTCTCTGTCCCTGCTATAAATACTGTTTGCTGCTTGCCTTCAATTCTCTGAATAACTCTGGGTGGTTTTGAAGAGAAATTACATCATGTCCAGATAGCTAGAAGTAATTTGCTCATCATCAGACAGTGGCACCATTTAACTTTCCCCTCGCCCCGCCCTCTGTTCTTCTCAGAAAAACGGGTTTATCTCTGCCAAGAATGTAGGCAACTCATAAACCCTTTGATTTCTGATAACCCCAGGAAGCAACATCGATGGGGGGGGGGGCGGAAAACACAGGCGCTGTTTCTGCAACCAACAGAAGTAGGTTGAATGCAAGAGAAGAATGCGATCAATTATTTGCCTGCATTGAGCAAATGATTGCTCAGTGTATATCGATGCTTGTGAAGGCAGGGAGGGAGGGGTGGTTGGGAAAAAACAGCAGAAAGGGGGACTTGCACGGTCTACCTTCCAGAAGCCTCCAGCGACTGTTGTTCAGACAAACTGTCTTCTTAACCTGTGCCCTTTAAAACAGGATGAACGGGGATCAAATCTACCACCGCATTCGTTTCTGTGATCATAAGGACTAGGGCCTTAGAACGGAAAGATAAAAAGTGGACAGCAAAGACAGGAAATGGTTTTGCATAGAACAGCAGGGCCTTAATGCGAAATGCATGTCTCCAGATGGTTTCTTGAGTCAGCTTTATATTAAAGAGACAGATTATTTATATTAAATAGTCCCCTGAACGAAGAGCTTTTTCCAAACCGGGCGTTTTCCAAGCCAGCTGTGCATCGTGACATTTTCTCTTGGCATTTAAGCTCGGCGTCTTCGGCAGAGCAGAGGCTTCGGAAGGGGAATGTATGGGGAGGCCATAAACTGGAGGCCATAATTAGAGGTAAATGAATGCCAGGATGCACAGTTCTCAGCACCCCATGCTCAGCAATCCTGGGCTCTTGATGTCACGTTCATATCGGTGCATGCATGCTGAACCTTTCCCAGCCAGGATCAGGCATGGATTGCCTCGGCCATAATTAGAGGCAAATGAATGCCAGGATGCACAGTTCTTGGCACTCCATGCTCAACATCCATGCTCAACATCCTCATCTCAGTGCATGCATGCTGAACCCTTCCTATTCCCAGCCAGGATCAGGCATGGATTGCCTTCTAGGTCCCGGGTGATGCAACAGAGGGTGGCCTCACCCTGTTTTGAAGCAAGGCCCCTGCCCAGGATCTGAACATGTTATACTTTGGACTGCAGACCCCACAAATCACCCAGCTAAGCATTGACCCCAGTCCTCTATCCAGTTCAGTGAACTTTTGAGGAACCTCAAGCAGCAGCTGCAGCTCTAGGGGATGGGTGGGTCTCCAAACCCCCGTGTTTTAGAAAGCCCGGAACAGCTTGGGTCCCCTGAGAGAGTAATCTCATTTCTTCATCAGCAGCTCCACTAGCTGCGGATCCGCTTCCGGGACGAAAATCAGAGTGCTGGTCCCTAACCTATAAAACCCTAAATGGCTGGAGTCCAAGCTATCCCAAGGACCACATCTCCCTTTATAAATCTGCTTGGGTGTTAAGATCATCAAAGGAGGCCTTTCTCTCTGCCCCACCATCCTCCCAGGGGTGTTTGGTGAGCACACAGAAGAGGGTCTTCTCTGTCGCTGCTACAAAGGAGGTCGTTCTCTCCGCCCTGCCACCTTCACAGGGGCGTTGGGTGGGCACATGGAAGAGGGTCTTCTCTGTCGCTGCTCCTCCCAGACTCTGGAACTCCCTCCCACTGGAGGCCAGCCTGGCCCCATCTTGGCTGTCCTTCCGCCACCAGGTGAAGACCAGGCAGCCTTGTCAGAGGTCAACGGAAAAGCACCACCTTTGCATGTGGTTCCAGGTTCCCCACTCAGGCCCTGACACCTCCAGCAAAAAGGATCAGGGAGGTGGCGCTGGGAAAGATTTGAACCACCTGAGAAAGTGATGCTGCCAGTCGGGTTAGAAAATGTTGGGCAAGTGGGACTAAGGGGCTTGAACTGGTAGAAAGCAGCTTCCTTTGCTCTTAGGATTGCATTACAGTACAGGATCCCTATCCACAGTTTCATTTATTCATAGTCTGAAAATATTAAAAATATTAAACGAAGGGGGGAAAAAACAGAAATATATATATATATATTTCCACCATGTTATTACCAGAGCTGGCCCCTAGAGGGCGGCAGAGACCATGCTATGTATAGAGTTTGCTCTTTTTCTACACGTTTTGAGCATCCATGGGGGGGGAATTGTAACCTATGGGTGTCACAGTCCTCCTGTATTTCTTGAAAGATTGGGTTCATAGGGGTTTTATATGCAGGGGGCGGAGGGGTCTGCTGGTTCTGGGGCTCTGGAAAGCAGAGGTGGTTGCCGTCTCCAGGAAACGCCTGTTATGGGCAGAAGACCACATAGCTCTGAATAGACTACTTCGCTGCATTCCGCATGGGGCTGGCCTCGAATGCTCTTTTTTTTTCTTTTTTTTTTTAAGAAAGGCTGGGTAAAAATATTTTGAATGAATGGAATGAATGAAAGAATCTCTGGCTGGCAGAAGTACCCTGTCATTTTGAGCAGGCGTTTGGCCAGCCTTAAAAAAAAAAAAGGAAATGAAACGGATTGAACCTGCAGCTTTCTGTGCACAAAGTGAATCTTTTATGGAACTTTCCTGGGCCCCTGACCCATGGATCCCTGTGCCCTGGTTACAACACGGCAGCTTGGGGATGTAAACAAACCCACCCACCCCAGTTTTGGATGCTGGTTCGACAGGAGATGCAAGGGGCAAACCGGAAAGTCAACAGAAGAGTTGAAAAACGTGATTTTTTTTGTTGTTGTTTTTGCAGTGGAAGAAACCCCTGACAGTCTAGACCTATGTGTGTTTACTCAGTAGTAAGTCTCTCCCCCTCCTCCACACTGGTTTCAGTGGGACTTTTGACCCTAGTTAAGCATGAATAAGATTGCCGCTTTCCCCTTGGCTTCCAATGCAGCATCGGAAAGGAGAGGAGCAATCCTCCAGAGATAAATACTGTACATCTTTTAACCAGTACAAATTCCAAAGCTGAGTGCTAAATTCAGGGATTTATTATTATTTTTTCCCTGGACTACAGCTCCCAGAATCCCCCAGCTAGCTACGGCTTTTGGGAGCCGTCCTCCAAAATAAGAACAAAGTAAAATCTCGACCTGGAGCCCCCCAAAAAGAGAGAAATGAACCTTACCAAGCTGTGGCCGAGAGGCCCAGGAAACCTCTAGCGCCCCCTGCCCCACAAGTTGTAGGGGGTGACCATGATTTGCACCCCCTTAATAATAGCCGTGTGCCTTCAAATCTATTCTGACTTGTTGGGGACCCTTCCCAGGGTTGTCTAGACAGAGAATATGCAGAAGCGGTTTAACATCTTTCCTCCTACAGCGCAGCTTGCCCAAGGCTACCCGGGCTGGCTCTTCCGAGAGGCGCAGCAGGGACTCGAACCTCTGTCTCTGCAGCCGGGGACCTCACTCGCCAAGCCCTCCACCCCATGGCGCTCCCTTGTTTAGTCCTTAAGTCCTGTCCAACTCTTCGTGACCCCACAGACCAGAGCACGCCAGGCCCTCCTGCCTTCCACTGCCTCCCAGAGTTGGGTCAAATTCATGTTGGTCGCTTTGATGACTCTATCCAACCCACTCCCTTGTGTGTGTGTTTAGTCGTTTAGTCGTGTCCGACTCTTCGTGACCCCATGGACCAGAGCACGCCAGGCCCTCCTGTCTTCTACTGCCTCCCGGAGTTGTGTCAGGTTCATGTTGGTTGCTTCACAGACACTGTCCAGCCATCTCATCCTCGGTCGTCCCCTTCTCTCCACCAACCTCTGATTCTGCAGCCAGGGACCTCACTCGCCAAGCCCTCCACCCCGTGGTGCTCCCTTGTTTAGTCCTTAAGTCGTGTCCGACTCTTCGTGACCCCACGGACCAGAGCACGCCAGGCCCTCCTGCCTTCCACTGCCTCCCGGAGTTGGGTCAAAGTCATGTTGGTCGTTTCAATGACCCTATCCAACCCACTCCCTTACCCAAGAGTAAACCCTCTCGGACTGTCCAGATCAGTGTCCAGAAAGCGATGCAGCTCTAGAAACACAGCCCTTTCTGCTCTCTGTGTGTGCATGGGAGAGGGGGGTTGTTGGTGTGTGAATCTCACAGATCTCAGCTGGTCTCTAAGCAGGGCCAGGATCGGCCCCTTGTCCGAGTGGCCGGGCCTTTGGGGGGGGGGTTGTTTCCCCCTGGTTGCATTTTTCTGCTTGACCTTCAGTTCTCTTGTCTCCTTCTCTCTCTCTCTCCAGCTTGGCTGGTTTCCTGTTTCCCCATCCTGTGTCTGTTCTTCTCCTCCTCCCCCCCTCCCTCCTTCCCTGGTCCTCGCTCCAACCTTCTCTTTCCTCCCCTCCTTGTCCATGAATGAGATGTCAAGAGTCCTGAATGGAGCAAAAAGGGGGCGGGGCGGCTGGGGAGGAGAAGCCACCCCATTGGCCCGCCAGCAGAAGCCAGGGGGCGGGGCTTGGGTGCCTGCCTGCCCCCCCTCCCTCCTTCCCTCTCTCTAGCTCTCTCTCTCTTCTTTGGCTGCTGCTGCTTTTGAGGAATAAGGATCTCGGAAGGAGGGAGGGGGGGGCAGAAGGAGAGATGGAGGCGGAAGGAGAAAAGCTCTGAGCCTTCAAAGCAGGAGGAGGAGGAGGAGGAGGAGGAAAAAAATCCGAATTAGGAGGCTGTCTGCTCAATCCAGCCTTCTTTTTCCAACCTCCTTCTCTTCTCCCCCCCACCCGCTCCCAGAAACCAAAATTATCAGCAAGATCTCCGCAGGAAGGACAAGGTCCATCCCTAGAGAAATGTAGCTTTCTGGCTTTTTTTTTTTTCCTCCGCCCAATTATTTTTTTTTAAAAAAAATTCTAGGAGCCTTGGGAAGTTTTTGGCCCTTTCCGAAGCTCGGTGGCGGTTTTGCATTTCGCTTTGGAGTTTTTTTTAAAAAATAAAACTCTTGTTTCCTCCTCCCCTTTTCCTTTAACCTCTTTTTTTTCCCCTCCCCTCCTCCTTTTTCTCTCCTCTGGCCACTTCCTTTTGGCCTTCCTTTCGAGCCATCCATCCAGAGGCAGGAAAGAAAGAAAGAAAGAAAATCAGAACTGGAAACACCGTTTTTCTAGGGTCTTTTTTTTCTTTTTCTTGTGGGGGCTTTCGTTGATCTCTCTGCTCTTGTGACTGTGTCTTTGGGGGACCAAGAAACAGATCGGTGTTTTTTTTTTCTTTCGCTTGCCTGGAACTTTTCCTCTCTGCCCTCCTCTTAAGTTGTTCTAATTCTATATTTTGACTTGAAAAGGGGGAATAAGAATAACTTCGACTTCTCTTTTTCTCCCCACTTTTCTTTAAAACCACATATTTTAAAAAAAACTCTAAAAAAGAAGACACCCTTTCCCCCCCCAAAAAATGCCGTTCTCTAACTTTGGACGCACCCCGAGTTGAGGGTCCAGGAAACAAGAGAGACAGACTTTTTTTTGGGGGGGCTGCTCCCCTCCCTTCCAGGAAGTGGGGAGGGGAGAGCTGGAGGGAGAAAAAAAGCAATTTTTATTTTCTTTGATCCGTGTCTGGGGGACGCCGCGGGCGGCTTCACGCGTCTCTTCACCTCCGTGTCAGCGCCGGAACGTGGGAGCGCGGCAGGATGGCGGCCGAGCTGAGCCCCGAAGAGGAACAGGTAAGCTCTCTTTGCACCCCAATATATTTCGGGGGGGCTTTAAGGGTGCCGGAGGCGGGCGTGCTTTCTCTCCTCTGCCTTTCGATGACTTCTTACCCCCCTTTAATTAAATGTTGATGGCTGGCAATGGCCTCTGCCGTTCCTTCTGCAACCGCCCCCACCCCCAGAAAAAAAATATATATATTTTTTGCATTTTGTTTGCTAGCTTTGGGGGAGGCTGTGCAAAAAATAAATAAAAACCCAGCCGGGGGCCCTGGTTTCTTCCGGGGCTCCCGAAAGCGTCTCTGGCCGGATACCATGCAGCAGCCCCAAGAATCATAAGAAATAATATTATTCTTATTTTTTCGAAGGGCTTGGCAGAGGATCAGGAGGTTGTGTTTGTGTGAAGGGGGGAGAAAGAGGTGGGAATCGGGCTTTGGGGTGTGTATGTGTGTGTGTGTGTGTGTGTGTGTGTGTGTGTGTGTGTGTGTGCGTGTGTGTGTGTTTTGGCCCGTTCACTCAGCACCTCTGTGGCCCGCTCACCCTCTCCTCTCCGATCCTCAGGGCTAATCCCCAACTGAGTCTGTGACTAATTAAAAGCCTCTAAATCCAGACGGCTTAGCATCTCTTTCTTGTCGCGCTTGAAGAGAACTTTCTACAATTTTACTAAATTTTGATGACAGTGGATCTGATCCTTTGGGCTTCAGCAGATCTCCCGGGGGGGGGGGGGGGGGTAAAATAAGGCACCTGAGCAAGAAGAGCAGGAAACAATGAGACGTCTTCTCCCCACTCTTTCCCCGGGTGGGGTTTCCATGGTGATCTGAATTGGGAGATGGGGCCTAGTCAGGATGCCCGCCTATGTTTTGCTGAGCAACAGGGTTTAAGATATATATTTTGTATATCTGCATGATACTCTGTGTGTGTGTGTGTGTGTGTGTGTATATATGATGCAGTATATATATATATATGTATGATACAGTATATATATATGATACAGTATATGTATGATACAGTATATATATATATATGATACAGCATATATGATACAGTATATATATATGATACAGTGTATATGATACAGTATCTGTATGATACAGTTTATATATATGATACAGTATATATATATGATACAGTATTAGTAGTAGTAGTAGTAGTAGTAGTAGTAGTAGTAGTAGTAAGTATATACTGTGAAGTCAGTTCTGACTTATGGCAACCGTTTCCAGAGTTTTCTAGGTAGGTAGTACAGTACTTAGAAGTGGTTTACTGTTCCCTTCTTCTGGGGGCACCTCTGGAAATGTTCAGCTGACCCATGGCTACATAGGCTGGCTCTTCTCTTGACAAGCACACTGAAGAATCAAGCAGAGCTATACAGTCAGGTTATCTTTAACTATCAAAGTTAACTATCAAAGTTAAAAGGCCACCTAAAGATTTTGTGGTACATTGGGGCCACCTCCGAGGCTGCTTCGGATTAATCCGATTTTAGGAATGGCTGGGAAGGCCAGACCCTCTCCGGGGAGCGCCTCCTCTCAGGACGCGCTGGACTCCCTCCTGCGCCTTTTTCCGTTTGAGGTTCTGGGGGGTGGGCGAGAAAAACGACAGAAAGGGAAGCCGGACTCAGGACTGAAGGGGAGAAAAGACGGTGGTCCTGGGGACCCTTTTAGCTCTCGAGGAAGTGCAGGCGGGGGAATAAAGAAAACCTGGACAGACCCCAGCCTTAGATTAGATTAGATTAGATTAGATTAGATTAGATTAGAATAAGATAGATAGATAGATAGATAGATAGATAGATAGATAGATAGATAGATAGATAGATAGATAGATAGATAGATAGATAGATAGATAGATAGATAGATAGATAGTGCTCTCTCTTGTTTTAATTTCTAATTTCTTGTTTTAAGTTTTAATACACACACACACAAATACATACACATATGCACACACATGTATACATATGTATATATACACATACATACACACACATCATACATACATACCCAATATATATCTATATCTTGTTTTAATTTCTCACTCCCCCCCTTTTTTCCCCTTTTTATATAACTGGCAAGCGGGGATGAGTGGGGAGAGTGTCCCTCTTGCTTAGGGAGGGGTCTCCATGGCCTTCAAAAACTTGGCAAGACCCCCCCAAAAAAGGAAATAGTTTGATACTGAAAATGCCCAGTATTTCTCCTTGGAGCAACTTCTGTGCTGTATCTTTTGGAGTGGACTTTAACTCTCTAAAGCAAAACTGTCATCATCCTCTTGATGTCTCTGGATTCTTGAGACGCCGCGGAGTTGATCAGGCCAGGTTCTCCGCTGGCTACAAGGGTCTCCTTTGCACTCTTTCCATCTTAGCAGACATTTCCCTCTGGCATGTTTTTATTATTATTATTTTATATTTTTCTATTTTGTTTCTTGCTGGTTTCCTTAGGAAAGAGTCCGGGCTGTCCTCCCCCTTGAGCTGATCTTTCTAGAGTTTATTGCTGCTCTTTTGAGTCATCCTTAGGAGGATGTTACACATTTCGGAGGTGGTGAAAAAAAAAAGAGATGTTCTTGAAAATCTCTCGATTGCCAGTGGCTAGAAAAAAGGGGGGGATTAGCAAAAAAAGAGAGAAGACTATAAAAACAAAGTCTCTCTGTGTTTGTATCTCCCTTACAACTCTGTGGCAAGATGGAAATCCTCCATCTTAAGATCTTCCTTGAGAGAGAATTTTGATTCCAGTTTTTATTTACAATCTGGAAAAGTACGTTTCTCGCAAAAGTTTCAGTGCCTGGTGTCACTACATCCGGCTGTTAAAGAAATGTATTTGCTGGATGATGTCATTCTTTGACGCACATCGACTTGAATTTTTTTTAAAAAAGGAGGAGGAGGAGGAAAGGAGACCATCAGATAGTATTTATGCCTTTGCCTTTTTCTCCGTGATGAAATTCAAAGCAACAGGGTAGTTATTCATGTGATGTTATTGGAAGGCCTGATGCTTTGATTTTGTTTTGTTTAAAGAGAAGCTCCTTCGGTTTCCGGCCCTGTTTTCCAAAACAGCCGATGTTTGTCGTTTTGAAAGGAAACCCAAACTTCGAAACCCAAACTTAAAAGCCCCGGTATAGAAGAGGAATATAGTGCAATACCAAATAGTGTTGTTATTTTAAAAAAAAGTTACAGCAGCATTGAAAAACAGCCAGACAAAATACAAGCAATACGAGCAGCAATGATAAAACATTGAGTACAAAGAAAAACATGATACTGTAATGGTAAAAAGAAAATATTGTGTTGTTGTTGTTTTTTAAGAAAAGAACGAGAAGCTTCCCTAGGAGAGAATTTAGAGTATTTGGTAGTATCCTCACCAGAACAGCTCCACCAGTTGTATAT